ATTGCTCCGTTAGTTCCTTTACTGTTAGTACGCGATGCCTCTCACCCCGTCCCAGGCTGCAACCCAGGCTCCCTCTATCACTTCCCTCTGGAGATCCCTCCTTTCTCCTTCTCAGCCCTGTCTGCCCAGCCAAAAGGTGCAGTGAGCTGCTCGGCAAGGGCAGGTCCTGGGAACGGCAACGGACTTACAGTGCCTTGTGCTGGGAAGAGACTATTGCACTGGGATTGCCCTCCCATTCCTGCTCTCTCCGGAGATGCTCCTAGTACACAGAGACTGGGGGCTCAGGGGAACAGGTGACTTCATTTTACAAGTTAAATTCTTGGTGGGCAAATTGCCCCTAGGATAACTGAGAGCAAATTTACAGCCCTGCTCAGCCGTGCCGTGCAATTAGTCTCCCAGTGATGGGGTTTTATAGGGGTATGGAGGTGGTGCAAGGTTAGAATGTGGGTGAAAACTGGACACCACCTTCTGCAAGCACCACAGGTCTGCAAATACCTACCACATCCACGGAGACCGTGTTTTTATTAAGCTGGGGGCAGGGGGGAGAGGGTGTTTGTGCTTGAAGCCTCGTGGACTTGCACCAAGCCCAAGCCAAAGCTGCTGCCTCCCGACTTACGGCCACTGAAGCCATTACAGTCCTCCGATTCATACCTGTGGGGAAGCTGCAGTGAGTTCCCAGCATTTTTTGGAAGGAGAATTTTATGCTCAAAACTAAATTTTGTTCCTGCTTTCACTGGGGACCAGTTCTCAGCTTCAGAATTGCTCTGATAACTTTGCAATTGCTTTGATAGCTCCAGAGAGGAGCGCAGTCCCTTTACAGAACAGATGGAGACACATTTTCAGGACCATTCAACTTTGCTGTAACTCTGTCTTCGTTATGACAATTTCTTCTGCTATAACAGGAGGAGCAAAATTTGGCCAGTGATGAATGCTCTTGAAAACCGTATTCCTGAACTTTGAAAAAATTAGTCTAGAATCCAAGTCCTCCCAGACACAAAATGCCTTCCACACCCACCGGCTTCAGTGGCATTGGGGATTTCAGCAGCTTGCAGGATCAGGCTTTCACAGCAGCAGCAGCGGCAGCAATTTCATGACGGCAGTATTTTTGCGTGTGTCAATCTGCACTTGCACTTGCCTGCAATGCATGACTCTAGTAATCCATTTGAAATCTACCCTCGACAGGGAGATCTGAGCTCTAGCTTCTTCCATATGGCCGTGTGTATTTAATAGGAAATCAGGGGAGTGGGAAAAAGCTCATGAGATTGCTGCTTTAAAGCACTTGGTTCCAGAAGTAAAACAGACCTTACCAGAGGTCAAAATTGGCTTGATTTTAGCATGGGTACAAGGGCAACTCATGAAATATTTAAGCACTGTAATGCAGATACACCTTTTTCCTGCTGTGCCAGGAATGAAGTAGACTAGAAACTCTTGGCCTCCACCCCTACAGATGTTTGGCTGTGATGGAAGTTTGAGCCATCGAAATCGCAGGAAAAAAAAACAGATTGTGAGTTCATAGCTGAGCAGTTGCAGCTTGTTTAGCAGTGAGAGCGTCTCACTGCGAGGGCTGCTGCTTTCCTGCCTTACTCATCCATGTACCTACCTGGCCAGATTTCAGGGAGGGAGGAGGGAGGAAGCACTTCAAAAGCAAGAAAATCCAACCTGTGAGCCTTGCCCTGAGAATCCTTCATTTAACAGGAGCCTACAGGCCAAGGCTTTGCAGCTACTCCTCATTACCACAGCGGGGAAGTGGGCAAGGCACGAGGGGCTTCTCTTGTATCCACGGGCCAAAGCTTGCAGAAGCTGTTCTGGGGCTGTGGAAGAGCAGGAGTGTGGAGCTGGGCTGCAGGTAGACCCCTGCACGGCCTGACTGCAGTGTTTGCATGCAGCTTTCTGTAGGGCTGGTTCAGAAACCTGCTCGTGAATAACACTGGGCAAAGTATTTTTCTTCCGGAGGCATTCTTAATACTTTAAAATTTTAAAGACTAAATACTGAAAAAAAAATTATCTAAACCAGCAATTGATTTGGGCTTCTTTTTGTTGCTTTGTTTTCATATATTGGTTTTGGGTGGGGAAAGCAAACAAAAAGTATATCAAAATGTTTTGGATTAAATCAAATATATTGTTCCCACAACAATTTCTAATGGAGATTTAAAAATTTTCCAAGGGCAACAAAACTGCCTTAATATGTATTCAACTCCAAGAAGAGACATTAACACCACTTGCTTCTGAGCCTGCTTTTTACTTTTCTCTCTGTGTGATCGTGGCATGGAATCATGTCTTAACAAAATACACTTTGCAGTACTCAACGGGATGTCCAGAAACAGAAGACAGTGTTTCAGAATCTCCCCGTGCCCAGCATTGAAGTGATGGCTTTGAAGCCAATGAAATTCAATGCAAAATTTCTGCTTTGCTAGAATTCTACAAATAGGCAAATGTCCACAATTCCCAAAGTTAAATGTGCTCTGCTGCCTTGAGATGCCTTCAAATAACCCTGGGATCTGTACGCTGAAATGAGCTTGAGAATAGGCTCCCTGGTCTGCAGCAACATCCCCAGCTCTTCTAGAGTGTACACAATTCCCTAGGCAGTAGATGAACAGAGTAAGATGACTTTCAGCTAGGACTCATTGCTTTTTAGATTGCGTGTAGTTAGAAACATGAGTTCTGCCAGCTGCCCAGGGAATTTGATATTCAGTGCCAATTAATTTTTGTAATGGGAACAGGGATTTATTCCCTCGATTCCCTTAGGCACCTTTGAAAAGCGTAAGCCTCAAAGGTTGGTTTGGAATTTTTTTTTTCTGGTGGCCTTTTTCCTGAAAAGCAGTGGTGCCGAGATGAGAAAGGGGACCGGTCTGTGAAGGGTAGCAGCTTTGGGGCAGGCAACTCCCAAACTTCCCATTGCAGAGGTTTTCTAAACTTTCCAGGTGTGGGTAAATTCTGCTCTGCTAGATGGGACTCCAACCTCTCGCTGCTCTCTGGTCCTCCTGCTCCTTCCTCCTTCCCCTCAGCACCTCCTCATGTCACTGTGCCTTCATTTGGTTTATAAAATGATGCCATGATTTAAGACTGGCACATTGTCTTTACTCTCACTTTGCATCCCATAAGACAGGTATGTGTGGAGAGGGGCTTAGCTTATTTTGTAGCTTTTCGTGTGATCCTAAGGTAGGTTTCTTCTGAGGAGTAAAGGGGTGGGGATAGTGGGAGCAGGAATGAGCCAGTGTTGTATTTGATCATACCAGTGCTTTAAGCGGTCAGGAACATGTTTTTCCCCTACCTCTGAGCTCTCAATGCTGCTAAAATCTCTGCCATTCGTACAATGTACTCCAGCCCCCTCTCTCGGACTGACTCTGGCTCTGTTTGCAAGATATCCACACTGTTCTAAAGCATGCACCTCTTTCTGTATAGTTCCAATCTTCTGATTTTATGGAATACTTATGCCTGTTTGCATTACGGTCAAAATAAAAAAGTGAACTAAACTCTAGCAGACCTTGTTCTTCTCTTATAGCTTGAGTTTCAATGCTGAAAGGCCTCTCCTGATATCTTGGCCTTGCTCTGGTTCGCTACCTGTAATGCCGGAGCGCTATAAATAGGATGGTGGCGTCATTCAGCATTATCTATTGATCTGCAAGACAGGAACGCTTTCTTATAAGGCTGCTTGAGTCACAGCATTACATGTTTCACATCATTTATAGCACATCCACTGGGAAAATGCCACAGTCAAGTAAGGAGGGCTGTCTGCGCACAATCCAGGGCAACTTTTAATGCTGGAGCCTCGGTAACACAGCAGCAGTACTCCTAGGAGAACCTGAGAGACCTGGGCAAAAAGAATGGCTGCATGTGGCCAGGTGAATGAGCCAGAAGTACGGGCATGGCTTTTTACATGGGAAGGTAGTGTGCTGTTGCAAGGGGGTAGTAATGTGCCTTTATTTAAACAGATCCCTTCTTAGGGCTCCCTGCAGAGCAGCAGGACACAGATGTGATCAGGGCAGAGAGATCCTAAGTTGTCTGCAAGAAGCAGGCGAGAGGACGAAAGGCATCCATGTGCAGGAGCGAAGGGCTGCTCCCCCGCCAGCGCCAGGCCGGCGTGAGGGGCACGCGGCATACACGGCGGCACTTTTACCTCAGACATCGCTGCAGTTACACCTCAGACGCAGCGGCAGCGTGACCTCGGAGACCACGACGGCGTGACCTCAGACACTGCCGTGGTGTTACCTGAGGCACAGCAGCAGTGTGACCTCGGAGACCACGACGGCGTGACCTCAGACGTGGCACCAGCGTGACCTCAGCCACGGCAGCGGCGCTGCCTCAAGACATCGCCATGTCGTTACCCCAGACGCTGTGGCAGGCACCTCGGTGCCACCTCGCACACCGTGCTGGTGTCACCTCCGTCCCCACTGGGGTGCTGCCGCAGACATGGCGGCAACATCACCTCAGGTTGCCGCAGACATGGCGGCAGCATCACCTCAGGTGCTGCCGCAGACATGGCGGCAGCATCACCTCAGGTGCTGCCGCAGACATGGCGGCAGGGTTACCTCAGCCAGCCTTTCAGCTCGGCCCTGCCAGGCCCTGTTAGCCCGGGGGAGACGGGCACAAACCACTCGCATCCACCTGGCTCCCTGCAGCCCGCCACGGCGTTTGGAGGGTCTGGGGGGCTCCCCAGGCCCGCGTCCCCACCGACCCTGGGAGCTGACACCTCCCGCCGGCGGACAGGCACTTTGCAGACACTCCCTAGCCCCCGCCGCTGCCCTTGACCCGGAGAGGCGGCGCGCCGCGCTTCTGCGCCGCGGCACTTGGCAGACGCTCCCTAGTGCCTATAAAGGGAAGGCGCCGCTCCGCGAAGCGGCCGCACTTGGCAGACGCTCCCCGGGCCGTTCCTCCGCCTTCGTTCCGCGCCGGAAGCGGGAGACGCTCCCTAACCCCTCCCTCCGGGGGAAGGGGGTCGCCCAGGTAAACATCCAAGATGGCGGCGGCGGAGAGCCAGGGCCCGGCGGCGGGCGGGCCGCGGGGCGCGGCGGAGGCCGAGGCCGACGGGACGATGGGCCTGACGGACCTGCCGGGCGAGTTGCTGGAGCTGATCCTCTGCTGCGACGTGCTGGGAGCCGCCGACATCGGGCGGGTGTCGTGCACCTGCCGCCGGCTGCGTGAGGCGTGCCAGCCCCGCGGCAAGGTGTGGCGGGAACGCTTTCGCCTCAGGTGGGCACGGCCCGGCACGGCACGGCCTGCCGGGGAGGGGGGCTGCGCTGGCTGGATGCGGCTTGGCGAGGGAGGGCGAGGGCTGCCCGGGGCCGGGGGGGGAGGCCGTGTCAGCGCAGGCCGGGCCCCGGCCTGAGGGGGTTCGGCTGGCAGCGGGGACGGTGGGACCCGGGAGGGCCCGGGTGCTCCTGGGGAGGTGGAAGTGTCCCCCCTCCATCCCATCCCATCCCTGTCTGTCTTCTGTTCCCGGCTCCTCGAGGTGCATGCTGAACCCCTCGTGGGTTGGACGAGCTCTGCAGCTCTCTGCTGGGCGTCTGACAGCTGGAAATGTGGGTGTCCTTCCCGAGCAGGGATGGCGGGGGCTGTTGCAAGGCTGCTTCCCCTCCTAAATCCCAGGGCGTGCGACCAGGCTGAGCCTGCCGCTTGGAGGAGATCCATCTTTGCAGGCCCTTGCTCGGGGGGAAACCATCATTGTGGCCCCTTCCACAGCCGGGCACTTGAATTACTTGCAGTCCCCAGATCCAGCCTGGGGTCTGGCAGCGGTACGGACATAGGCCCACATGGGGTTATCCATTGGCCTCCCTGGTCCCGCTGGCAGCTTCCAAAACAACCACCAAGACTTGTCCTGTTGCAGGGCTAATGCCTTAACAGCAAAGAGAGCTGTTTCTTTGCAGTGCTTTTGGGAGAGCTGTTTTCACAGAAACCAAAATCCTTTGCATCGACTTTTGCTGCTTGTGAGTTTAGTTTCCCCCCAAGGCTGTCACAAGGTACCTGATGAGGGCGTAGCTGTGTTGTAATCGGGGAAACTGTTAACACTTTAGCTGGGAATAAAGCATGAGCGTTGTATCGCTTATGCTGCGCTGGTTTCAGCAGTTCTAGAAACAGCACTCCTTCACTGGGGCCGCCAACCTATCTAGAATGGGGCATGCTCATCTGCTACCTGGTTTCGTCTGGGTTTTGGCACAGCAAAAGTAGCAATATTGCTTTCTCTAATTGCCACTTGGCGTCTAAAATTTAGCATGACTCAAATGAGAGGGTTATTCTCTTTTCACGGGTGAAAAAGGCTACTGAATGATTTTCCCAATTCACTGAGCTATGGCTTGGGATGGCTGGCCAGATACTTTCACCAATTCAGTGGCCCTAATTTGTGAAGCAAATGTGAAAGTTTAAAAGTGGTTGAGATCCAGCAGCTGAAATTGGATGTAGTAGGTGATTAGCACATGCTGCTGTCCTCCCTGTCTTTGATAATAGAACTTTTGGCAGGAGTTTGCACATTGACCTTGTCGTCCTGGCTAGATTCCATTGTGAGTAATTGCACTTTATCTCCCTAAAATTTTAATTGTAATTTCAACCCAAGAAATTATTGTCTCTCATCCTGAAATAAACAATTGTAATTGTTATTATGACGTGGCTGCATTTCAGCAGTAGATGAATGGCTAGGGAACCATCAGGAGAGAGGTTGTTATGTAATGTGAAGTTATTTGGTTGGTCTTTGACTTTATTTTGTAACTGCAGTTGCAGTGTAGTTTTATTATTAACTGGTAGTAAAATATCTTCCATGTGTGGACAGACATAACTGCATTTTGGTCAGTTGGTAATAATTTTTATACAGAAGTAGTACTTTAAACATTTGGCATTCTCGCTATTTAGAAAGGTAAAAATATAAAGATAGATAAAAGTATGTGTGTGTGTATATATATATATAATATTATATGTGTATATATATATAACCTGAAAAGAACCTAAGGCAATCCATGTAGCTTAAGGAAAATGTTTTGTAAAAAACAGTAATAATGAACAGAATTTCAAAATGTGAAATAAACCCCCCTGTAAATTACAAGAGGCCTTTCTCTCAGCTTGCTTTCCCATGCTGTCCAAAATATTTCCATCTGTGCTGATTCTTCTTCATGTTTCATAAACAAATGATCATGGTATCTTCAGAACAGTCATGGGTATTGCTGCGCTGGCATGTATTTTATTGCACAGGGCTGCGTTGTTGCAGCATGTGCCCACTTGATTAGAAAAGGTGCTGCTGCTAATAGCCTCCAAAATGTTACCTGAAGTTAGGTTTTTAGTTGAACCTTGAAACACTTCTTAGTAAGCTGTGGAATATGTTTTAGCTTTTGGACTTTTAGACTCAGTAGTGCAGGTACAGCTTTCTTTTACATGAAAGGTGGTGGTGGGGGGGGGTGTTAAATAATTCTTTCTTGTATTAAAAATGAACTGCAAAAGCATTTAGCTGTCACAATTTGACTTCAGAATTCTGTTTTCCTCCAGTAGACTTTGCCATCAGCAAGGGCAATAGAGGGAGCTCTGTTTTGTGCATCCTTTTAAGTAGTAGGGGGAACACAGGATAATGAATTCTCATTCTATTAGGTGACAGGTTAGCTTACATGTGATACATCTTCAGAATGGCAAACTTTTTTTTTATTATAAAACCCTGCCTCTCTTCTACTAATGTGATACCTGTGTTTATCTTGAAAAACTCTAGAGGAAATCTCAAAAGTTAGGATATTTAGATATTGAAATACCTGAAGTATGAACCTGTTGAAGGTTTTGTGTTGGCAGGCTTCAGGAGAGCTTATTTCTAAATAGCCATTAATATGCAGGTGAAATCAGTTGGATCTATGCTTTGATGTTTGAGTCAGTCATTGAATTAATTTATACAATTATATTTAAAGTTGTACTGTGTCCTGGCAGTGTCTCAGCTCCTCAAGTCATGTGGTTACAATAAACAACATTTTACAGTTCTGGAGGTTCTCAGTGATGTTGAAATACTAATGAAGCTGTTCACTTATATCTTGTTGTGTAGATGGCCATCGCTGCTGAAATACTATAGCCACACAGACAGTGTTAGCTGGCTTGAAGAATACAAAGCACGGCACAATGCTGGTCTAGAAGCCCGGAGAATTGTAGCTTCCTTCTCCAAAAGGTTCTTCTCAGAACATGTAAGTCATCTTCTCTATGTATGTGCCACAAGTAGCCTCGCTACTTGTTCAGTACTTTTTATTAGTTTGTCTTTCCTCTTTCTTCACATCTTTTCAACTATGCAGTCAGAAGGTTTGTATATCCTTACTTTGTGTGAAAATGCTAGATCACCAGCCAAAAGGGGAGAGACAGTTCAAAATCCAAAGGTGGGAACTGCAGACTCCAAAGTGCACTTTGCATATCACATTCAGCTATTGCTGCTGCAGCTTTAAAAACTCTTTGCTCATTGCTGCATGTTCAGACCTGGCTCTGGAAACTTCTGAAGGACTGATAGTTTATTGACACATACCACGGCCTATGAATTTATCTCACTGCAGACCTTGTGCAAGGATGCGTTCTGTGAGTTGTCAGAAGTCATTTGAAAACAGGACCAAGGCGCAATAGGTTCACTGAATTGGAAAGTATATTTAAGTTCTTTACTTGGCCATGACACCAAGATGCTTTTGCATTCAGTGTGAAAAAGGTGAAGATGTAGTCTCTCAGAGAGACTTACCTGCATGTGGAGCAACAGTTATTTCATTGTCTGTTTGCTTAGTTGATGGCTGTGGGTTTTGGCTAGCTGTACCATTTGGGTCAACTTGAAGTTCTGTGAAATAGGCATAAACACTGCCCGTAACTTTGGCTGAATTAAAAAGTTCACCCTTCTGTGGTTCCTTTGTGAATATGTTGTGGCCCAGTAGAGAATTCCCCTAAGATACAGGAGACCCATGTTGAAATCCTCTGAGCTGATTTTAAGCAAAGGTTGGCACCTGGGTTTTTACACCTGGAGAAAAAGGCCATGGGGCCAGTAGGGTGTTTGAAGATGCATATCTCTTAGCTGTTCTTTTTGAACACTTCCACAGTAGTTGCAGCAAATAGATATTTGACCATGGAGAGATATGTGTCAGGGCATTAACTGGGGGCAGAGGCTCCTGGATTCCTACTGTTTTAATCACGTATGCAAAGAGTACTGAGAGCCTATTCAGCAATACCCGAAGGCCTAATAATGAGGATACTCTCCTGTGGGGCTAGAAACTGCAACTTGATTCCCTGCTGAGAATTGAGGGGAAGAGACTTTCAACCCAGTTCTGCTAGATCCTGCAGAGTACCTGCTAAGATACTGTATGATGGGAATCGTTTTCTCCTTACTGTATTAGCCCATGCCCTATACTGAAAAGCTTGAAAGCAAATAGATTTCTTACAGTTCAACCAAAGTTTTAAAAAGAATTCTGGAAGAAGATAGCTCTTCTGAATAGAGATATGTAAGTGACTGTTTCAAAAAATGAAGGTTCCTGCTCCTTCATTCCTTCCCCCAGGACCAGTCTTCTACATGGGGGAGCATATGTAGAGGTTCCGTCAACCACAGACAAAAGTTGATTCCACCTTAAAATTACTTTCAGCTTGGGCCCAGCCTGCATAAGATCTGGTATGCTTCTGCTGGTCCATACACCCACTGTAGGAGCCCTGAATGCTGTAGTAGTTAGCTCAAATAGCTGTAGGGTGCTACTGGGGCTCTCAATGGATCCTTGTAATAAATCCGTAGAGCAGAGACTGAGTATGTGGTGAGCTGGACGTTTTTAAGATCTTACATAAATTTTAAAAAATAGAACAAAATTGGTTTTGAGACTTTTTATGAAATTATGTTCTTTTGGGAAGAATCTGTTGTGCTCTGCATAACTCATTGTCTGGTTTGACAGGTCCCCTGTGATGGATTCAGTGACATTGAGACTCTTGGGTGCCCAGGTCATTTTTTTGAGGATGAGCTGATGTGTATCCTTAACATGGAAGGAAGGTAAGAAAGAAAGGGGTTAGAAATGGAAGGGATTTTTCCCCTTTCACTGGTTAAAGGAGAACGGTACTGTGGTGGATGCCTGATCTCAGCTTCTGTCCTTTTGTCACTCTCATAAAACATCCCCAGGCTTACCAAGGCTGGGAAGTATTGCTGTGTGTTTAATTTCACAGCAAATCTAATATTCCCAGAAGAAACCATGTAAACTGTTCTACAAGAAGGAGATCCTCTGGCTTTGTGTTGCTGTTTGTTGCTTGTTTCCTTGCCAGTTCATGACATCTCTCAGGACATGTTCCATGTACCCTCTTCTCTGTGGTAGTTTTGGCTTAAGGAGTTCCCATCCTCATGTTTGTTTTTTATTTAAACCTGGATCAGTTCGCTGAACTGATTTGCAGGATGAGGCCACAGCACTGGAGGGAAGCAGGAATACTCAATAAGGTTTGCCACCATGAATCCCTGTATCATGAAACTAGAGCTTCCCCCCCCCCCCCCCCCCCTCTTTTTTTTTTTTTC